CCCTCTGGATGGCATCCCTTCCCTCAAGATTACCAGCTGCTTCTCTCAGCTTGGAGTTATCTGCAAACTTGCTGAGGGTGCACTCAATCCCACTGCCTATCTTCTTAATGAAGATATAAAATACGACAGGTCCCAGCACAAACAGCTCCAATTTACACCTTCAGCAGCACGGGCAACTTTTCCCTGCTACTCTTGCTCATGCCTGCTGACCATGGCCCCTAGACTGGGTGGTGGAGGGGAGGGGAAGGGGGAGTGGCCCATCCCAAAGGATGTTCCCTGCTTTACCACTCCTGCCATTCTGCAAAGCAAATCATCTTCCAGAGCCTCACACCCACCCCCTGCCACCCCAGGGAGCCTCAAACCATAGCAAAGGAATACTGCAGGGTGTCCCAACCTCCCATTCTTCTGTGAAGAGTGTTCTTATGCCCTCACACCCTTCCACCCCAAACAAACACCCTTCTCCTTTAGCATCTTGGGGTATGTCCACAGAGGGAAGGACCACATGGAGACAAGGCTTGCATGCAGCAGAACTTTAATGAGTCAAAAGAGGGAAACAAAGTCACTCCAAGTGGAGGACAGCAGAGCAGGGAGCCCCAGAGATAGCCGAGACTCTGCAGTCCCTGATAGTGGAGAAGTTCCAGCATGATGTCCATTTGCCTGACCAATAGAGGGAGAGCAGACAGATGGTCCCCTACAGGCTGGCCTTGCTGGGATCTTCTTGCCAACAGGAACCAAAGCACACAAAGAAAAGGGAAAGAAATTCAAAGCCATTCAGCTACCCTGAAAAACACATCCAAAACATCAATCTTCTGCACACCACCATGTTCTGAGTTTCTCGAGGTGTCTTCTTGGGGGCTTTCTCAGAATCTTTATCCACGGAGGTACCTTATGCCACCAAAGCGGCTGGAAATGCCCGAGAGGTCACAGCAGTCGGAGTTGATGGGCACTCCTTCACAGCTGAGGATCCTGCCAACAGCGGCAGAGGTGGAGGAGCCCACAACAGTGTTCTGAGGGAATGACCTGAGGATGGGCCCGGGCAGGGTCACCACCACATCAGGGGGCTCGATGACGACTCTGGAGTCCTGGCACTGCCTGACACAGGGCTCATTGCAGCTGTTGGCCAGCGGGGTCGGGCCACAGGGCCGGTAGCACCGGTCGTAGCAGGACATGTCTTGAGGGTGGAGGTGAACCTGGAAGAGAGGGCAGGGAGGAAGCAGAGCACAAGGGAGAGTGAAGAGCAGCCTGGTTTCCCTGACTGAGCGGGGAAGATGGAAGCATGGCCAGGAGCCACCATGGCTTCATTGTCCTACAAAGAGCAGCCTGGCCCAAGGAGGCTCTGTCTGAATCCCTAAACCAAAACCCTCTCAGCCATGTCCCAGACTCTCTCTGTCCAGACCTCTTCCCTAATTCCCTCTGTCATGGCAAAATAATCCAAGCCCCAGCACAGGACAAAGCCAACAACAACTGAGACATCCATCAAGGAGAGATCTCAC